CCGCCTCAGCCGGACGGAAGAGGACGGGACGGGTCGGCCGGCGGATCCTCTCCCGTTCCCGGCAACGGCCGCCTTCTCCAGGAAGTCGTTTCTGACTCCCTAGCGGGCAGCGTGCTCGTCGTGGCCACTTGCTCCCCTCTCCTGTCCAAGATGCTGTCCGCCGGAACTCCTGCCGCTTCGCGGAGGGGCGGGACGGATTTTACCTGGATGCCCGCTGGGCCTGGTAGTGTGGTAGGAGAGGAGCCCCGAGCGTACTGTGGAATTAGAATATTTAGTAGCTTTGTATTCGTGAGTATAGATCGCACCTCTCTAGCCCTCCATAATTGTATTTTTGTTTCAGGTAAATGTCTCCTTACCTCATGCAGTCTTTCAGCATTGCCATCAGTAGTCAGTTGTGTAAATTATTGAATTTTTTAAGGAGTGGGCTGGGGACGCGTACGGTGCAGCACAAAAAACCCAGGTGGATACCAGTTGCCCTGCGGGTGTCAGTTCCTTATTTGATGTTTGGGAAAAATAGGACTGCCAGGGAATGATGGTGCAGGCCTGTAAACCCCGCAGTCAGGCAACAGAGACAGGAGGTTCTTTACTTCAGGGTCAGCCTAGGCTGCATAGTGAGAACCTGTCTCCAAACAAAATAATGATCATAATAATAGTAATGACAATAATAATACCTGCTCACAGGGTTACGATGGGAGTGAAATGAAATAATGTATATGAAAATCCTTTGATAGGCGTGGTGTGTTGTATTCAGTACTTAGGAAGTAAAACTCCAGAGTGTTCCCTTTGTTTGCTAAATGAGAATGAAAATATGCTGCTCGCAAATACACTCGGAGCCATTATTCAAGTTGTGTTGGTTTCCTAGGAGTTTTGACTAGAAGATTTCTGTTGTAGTCTCCTGTGATGCTGCTGGACCAGAGGTGTAGGGTATCCATGAGGTTCTTCCTTCTTTCCTCTTGCCAGGGGGTCGTATTGGAAGGCATAATCTGCCTGTATTCTTCCAGGCCTCTGGGAGAATAAAAATAGTCATTTGAAAGCCTACTTTGCTTTGGCATTCCCCAGTAGGATAATGAAAATTGGGTGGAGATTCATAGGTCATTGTGGAGTTGCTAATCTAAAACAATGTGACTGGAGAAAAACAGGAGACTATCAAGTCCTAGAGTGACACAGTACTTGAGGGAGAACAGAAAAATGGTTCCTAGTGCTCTCTCTACTGTGATAGATCCAGCTAAAGAGAAAAGCTAATGTTACAGAGGGACACTGATCTTCAGGCCACTCTTCTAGAAAGCGAGCCAAGCAAGTACATTGTTTAATATATATATATATATTTTTTTTTTCTCTCTCTCATTGAGTTTATTGGTACATTTTAGGTATACAGTACAGTTACATTCATTGTTGGGATCTTGTACCTTTACATGACAGGTCTTGGTTCTCGTTTTTCCCCTTGTCCCTGCCCTCCCTTCACCCCTCCCTTTTACAAACACTTCATTTCCATTTTTTCATTTTCTCATATTTTTTCTTTCATTGTTATATTTTAAATAATAGCATTGAACCAGCCTCAGTGTGTTTTACTATGAGTAAAAGGGAATATGACATTTTTTTTTCAATAATCAAAAAAAATCCTAGTCTTTCCTTTTTATCCAGCGGGCTCAAATCACTAGAGAATCCAAGTTGGACATTTTCTCCTCCTGGGTTTTTGGTATTTAATTGAATCCTCCTTTTAACCTTTGTTTCTGTTTCTTTTGCTTAGATTCCACTTTTGCACCTTTAAAATGTTTCCAGAATGGCCCCACGGCTGTCACTTTTCTCTTGTGTTCTTAAAGAGTTCCAGTCCCTGTTGCAGCCACTCTAAAATTGCTTAAAAAAAGCAGCGTGCTGGAGATGGTGGTGCACACCTGTAATCCCAGCACTTGGGAGGCTGTGGCAGGAGGATCACTGAGTTGGAGGCCAGCCTGAGCTACAGAGCGAGACCCTGTCTCCAAAAACAAACAAACAAACAAACAAACAAAACAAAAGTAGAGTGAACTGTAAGAGGCCAGTGTAGGTTCCCAGGCAGCACTCCATATATTAGAGTATTTTGTGGCTATGTTTATTGCCTGTGAATACTTTAGTAAAAACTGGGCCAGCATTAAAATTGTCGTTCTTGGGCCCAGGATTTAGCCCAGTGGTTCAGCCGCTTGCCTTGCAGGTGCAAAGACCTGAGTTCAATCACCGGTACCAAAAAAAAAAAAATTGTCATTCTTTTTTGTTTGTTTGTTTGTTTGGTACCTGGGATCAAACTTAGAACCTTACGCTTAAAATTGTCATTCTTTATTAGGTATTTCCCCTTAGTCTCATCATGGAAGAAATTCCTTTTTTTTTTAAGTTTAATTGGTTATATTGTGGAAAATTTCTTCTAATTGTGAAGTAGAAAAGTATAGCTTCTCTCTGTAATGTGTTCTTTTCATGATTTCTAGTGGTTTGATGAAGAAACAGAGAGCAGTGATGATGTGGAAGTTCTCACTGTCAAGAAATTCAGAGGGGACCTGGCCTACAGACGCCAGGAGTATCAGGTGGGATTCAGTGTGTGAGGTTATGATACTTGAAGTGGGCTCTTGATTTATTAGTTACAGTGTATATAAGTAATAGTACTGAGCTATGAGTGTATCATTTGTGAAGATGAATTTAATCTTTGTTGTGTGTTTTAATCTTAGACTTCCAACTGTTCTTTCCTATGTGATTCTATATAATTTGTTTTGTTTCTTCTAAATCCAAATAAAAAGAAATGTTTTGGGTCCCTGTCGGCCTGTTTCTCTGTGTTCTCCGTCCCTGTGTTACATGTGAGCGTCCAGGACAGGTGCCTCATACAGGCTCAAAACACCCCAAAATGTGTAAGAAATGGGAAGAAGGAACAGTTAGGTGCCAGGTTACTTTACATATCTCATTTTATCTTTTTAAAATAATTTTATTGGTACATTTTAGGTATACAGTATGCTGACATTAACATCATTGGGAATTTGTACCTTTACGTAATATATCTTGGTTCTTATTTTTTTCCCCATTCCCCAAAGGGGAAAAAAATAACTTGCCAGGGATTTAGCTCAGGGGTTCTGTGCCTGCCTCATTTCATCTTCATGAAAATAGTGATGAGACAGTTTTATGGAAGGGTAGCTGCAAAACTAGGATTTGGAGCCTGGTCCCTTTTACACTGTGCTGTTTTCCATGGTAGTAGTCATTATATCCTCTCCATTCTGTCTCTACCCTGAAGAAAGATAATATTCACTAAATACTCAGGTCTTCCTTAGTTCATTGTAGGGTTGATAACATTACCCTTTGTCTAGGGATAAAAAAATTTTCTCCCCCTGCCCTCCCTTCATTGCTAGAAAGCACTGCAAGAGTATTCCAGTATCTCTGAAAAATTGTCATCTACCAACTTTGCCATGAAAAGGGATGTCCAGGAAGGCCAGGCTCGCTGTCTGGCCCACCTGGGGAGGCACACGGAAGCACTAGAGATCGCTACAAACTTGGTGAGTAGTTTCATTACTTTCCTTTACCAAGGACAGTTGAATAGTTTTATTTTCTAGAAACAATAAAAATTTTTTGTTAGCAGAATCAGTGGGTTTGCATAAGCAAAAGAAATATGAACAGCTTGTAGATCTGAACATAATCCTTTTATAATACTTCTCCTGTATTATGCTCAAAATTCTTCATTGTCCAGAAAAAAATCTCATTTTCAGAGGTTTTATTCTTGTGAGGAGTAGATAGATTGTGAGATTTTTAAAAAAGATTTTAGGCTTTATTTTCCAAAATTTCCACAATGAATCATTGTATTACTCCTGTAAGTAGAAAAAATTATAAAAACATGACTAAATACCAAGCCACACTTAATAATTCTTTTCATAGCCAGGCATGGGGCGCATGCCTATGATCCCAGCACTCAGGAGGATCACTGTGAGTTTGAGGCTAGCCTGTGCTACATAGTGAGTTGAAGAACAGTTTGAATGATGAGACCCTTTCTTACAAAACAAGCAACAAGGCTGGGGATTTAGCTCAGCAGTGTCACTGCCTGCCTCACAAACTCAAGGTCCTGAGTTCGATTCCAGGTACCAAAAAAAAACCAACAAAAAATCCTTTTCATTTTTAAATAGAACTTGCAGGATTTTTTTTTAAGGGTAAATAAAGGCAGTTGTTTGTGATTCTAGAGTATTTGTTTTGTGTTTAGATTAGGCATTTATAGCTTACTTCTGTTGGTTTTGTGTAAATTTGTATGGGAGTTAGTCTGAGTTGTCCAGACCTGGCCTATGGAGATTTTCTCAGAATGCGTTGGTGAGGCCCATGACCTCCATCTGGAGCCCTGTTGTGTAGCCTGCAGGGTCCTCCTCCATCTCCTTGCAGACCGCAGCTCTCCTAGCACATGCAGCCCTGGTGAGAATGATTTTTAGATCAGGAAAACCTGTGCTTTGCTCTTTTCAACCTTCTGTACTCGCTGGACACTCAGTCTTTTTTTTTTTTCTTTCTTTCTTTTTTTGGTTTTTTGAAACAGGGTCTCACTATGTAGTTGAGACTGACCTGGAACTCACTATGTAGCCCAGGCTGGTCTCGAACTCACAGCGATCCTCCTACCTCAGCCTCCCAAGTGCTGGGATTATAGGCGTGTGCCACCACATTTGGCTGGGCACTCATTCTTAAGTGAAAGGAAGATGAATCGCCTTGTGAGCCAGTTTGGGCGTGAGCAGTGGAGCTGGGTTCACTGTTCCATGCATCAAAGGCAGTAGGCTGCCCTTCAGTGCTCTCTCCCATGTCCACGTTGGCCTCATTTGCTCTGCTCCACTTGCTTTTCAGGGGCAGTAGCAGCTGGATGCATGGTGGGTCTCTGGTTCCCTGAGTGCCTCTGTTCTGGGACTGAGAGGACGACCCAGGTCTCTGGAGTGGGAGGTGGCTCCGAGGCCGGAGAGTGCTACCTGAGTCCCTCAGGGCCTATCAAGATTCTTGGAACCGCATCAGCCTATGGGCATCTGGCCTTGGGCTTGAAAGTTGCCCCCTCTCCTGGTGCATCCTGCCTGTCTGTGAGGTTTCCTTATTTCCTGGTAACCTCACATCTTGTGTTCTAAAATTTCTTCCCTACTCAGGGTCCTTTTCTTTTGTTGTTAGTTCTGGTCCTTGTCTTTTTCATCTCTGTGGTTATTGTCTTCTGACATTCTGTTTGGGGACAGGTCAGTGTGTAATTTTGAACAATGTAGACAGCAGATCTATACCTGTGTTATACCTTAGTATAGCTTTGTTGTTTACCAACTGTGTAGTTACAGGCAAGCTATCTAACCTTTGACAACTCAGTTGCCTCATCTGTAAAATGGGGATAATGGAGTTTTATAAGACTGTCAAATTTAAATGAGTAAAAAACTCTTAGAGTAGTGCCCTGCATGAGGTTAGTCCTTAAAACATGTTAGCTGTCATCTTCTTATTGATGGAGTATAATATTTTGGTACAGGGGATTGAACTTGGGACCTTGCACTTATAATGCAGGCAGTGGAACCACTGAGCTAAATCCCTGGCTGGAGTATAGTAATTTGGAAAAATCCCTCAAATTAATTTTTTTTTTTTTTTTTTTTTTTTTTTTTTTTTTGTACCAGGGATCAAACTCGGGTCCTTGCACTTGCGAGGCAGGTGGCAGTGCCATTGAGCTAAATCCCTGGCTCCCTCAAGTTAATTTAAATGGAGTTTAGTTTCCAGGGAGGTGTTTGTTAAGCCCACATCATCCAAACCAGAGCACCCAAATCTGGTGCTCTGGTGTAGCATCTTCCTGTGTGTAGCAACTTCCCTCCTGCTTTCTTAACGTGAAAATGTTTTTGAACAGCAGGAAGCACTGCAGACAGGGGAGTGCCTGTTGCAGATAATGGGCTGTACATGTTGTCTACTTTAGAAATAAAAGAAACAAATTGAAGTTAGGAAATTTGCTGCTCAACAGTTAATACCATGGTGGCGGAGGAGCTGCGCTCTGTACTAGGAAGTCAGCATTGAGCAGAAGCTCTCTGGAGTTTAAAGGACCATGAGAAGGACAGGCAGGAAGCAGTATAAGGATAAGACAAGTTAGGGTCTGTCTTTAGGAGGTACAGTATGCCCTGTAAGTTGTGTGGGGTTTTCTCTTTTCTCACTTAGTATAGGAATGTGCTTTCACCTGTCAGGCTGCTGGGCTCTCCAGGCTGCGTGCTGAGGATTTTTGCTCCTGCTTCCTGCCTGGGTGCTGTTCTCAGTGGCTTGATCTGCATGCTCGTGGGCCAGGCTTCCTTAGACTTTATGGCAGCTAGACAGTCCTCTTCCTGCTCTCTGTTTCTAAGACATTGACATAGAGAAAGCAGGCCAGTTTTTCCTAACAGAGGGTATTCGCCACATGGCCAACTAGGCAGTAGGTGGTGACTCTGGCTATGGGGACTTGAAACGGTCTTCTGATCAGAAGGAAAGCAGGCAGCCTTCTCTGGCCTTGCTATTGGTTAGCAGGGAAGGCATTTGGATTCAATTACAAGATGGCATGAAGCTCTGAGAGCTTGGGGCTGTCCTGCATAAGATGTCCAAGCCAAAGAAAATATGCAGATGGAGTTTTTTTAAACCCTGAAGGAAATTGCCTTTTGGGCTTTTAGAAAGCCAGGACTATTAAAATGGAACCATTAGCCAGGGGCCTAAGAAATTTGGCTAGAGTCTTTAGCTGTCTGGCTGAAGACAGGATTATAATACAAATTAGAAAGAAGCTAATTTATTTCTGGTGCGGGACTTTGTCAGCCATTGTCACATGACTGGTCATGTTGTTGTGACAGTAGGGTGTTTGGATTGACTGGTTACTGCTGGGGAGTATGTGTTTCTCTAGGTTTGTGGTTTCGAGTGAGATCTGTTGAAGTATATTTAATTCACTTATCTCATACAGCTACTAAAAGATGTCTGGGCGGGGGATTTAGCTCAGTGGTTCTGCCGCCTGCCTGGCAAGCCCAAGGACCCAAGTTTGATTCCCGGCACCAAAAAAAAAAAAAAAAAAGATATTCTAACTTACATCCTACTTGGGTTTTAGGCACCTTAATTCTTATATGGAAAACATTTTGCATTTTACTGTTATTCACCTTTTGTCTGTTCATTTTTTTATTTTCTTCTCAGGAAAATAAAGCAACCAACACAGACCACTTGAGCACCGTGCTCTACCTCCAGTTTGCTATTTGTTCAAGTTGGCCAAACTTGGAGAGAACCATCTCCTGCCTGCAGAAGCTGATTGCTCTGCATCCATTTGACCCCTGGACCTGGAGCAAGTTGGCAGAAGCTTACCTGAGCCTGGGCCCAGCTCCCTCAGCATCTGTGGCATCACCGCAGGGACATGATGGTTTCCTTTCCAGTGACGAAGCTGTCAAATCTGCCTTTCCACACTTGGGAAGAGACTGTCTTTTGTGTTTACCTGAACTCTTGCCTCAGAGCTCTGTGTTTTCCATCAAAGCAAGAAGCAGTAATGGCCAGAAATATGAGAACACTTTGAAAAGTATCCCGAGCTGTATGGCAGAAAAGAGAGAGGCTGTGTTGCCAGAGACTCTGGTGAAAGCCTGCGCCTCTTTGATTCGAGCCAGGTAAACAAAGTGGGCACAATGCTCTGTGGGAATAACTTGGGGTTAGGGTTACTTTTTCTCAATTTAAGCTTTAAAAGTTTCTAGGCTGGTACCTGGTTTTGAATTTTTCTTAGGGTGAGACAGAGCCCTTTGAACTTGTGTCATGTCAGTGTAAGGGTTAGAAACGTTATATTTGCTCAGGAATGCAACTTATGTCAGTGCTCAGGAAGAATGTTAAAATTGGAAAACTGATAAATTAGGAAAAGAAAATGTATAAAGCACCGAAAAGGGAAGAAGGGCTATTTTAAAGAGGGACTTTCTTGCTCATATATTCTGTAGAATCCGAAGGAAGGCTGCTGTTGAATTGCTGGTATTGTGAATAAGCAGTGCTTATTTCATTCCACAGAGGATTACCATCCTTTGACCCTAGGGCAGAGATGGTAAACCTCCTCTAGAGACCAGGTGCCCAGACTGTAACCCAAAACCCACTTATTTCTTGCAGAGTGCCAACACTGGAATTAAACCTGAATACTGAGGTTTTAGTTTACAAAAAACAACTTTCATCTGATGCTGAGCTACTGGGCAGCTTGGCTTGTGTGCCAACAGAGAGAGGGCTCTGTGCCAGCTGTGTGCCATTGGTTTGCCACCATTGCCCCAGGCCTCCCAGCACTTTGGATTCTTACAGCATGGGAATTTGAGGGAAAGGCTTAGGAAATATACTTGACCAGTTCTGTAATTTATGAGAGAAGAAATAGACACTTTTTTTTTTTTTTTTTTTTTT